TATACATTTCAGAAAGATGAATTACTATTTATCTCATTATGCAAAATGATACTTAAAACTTTGAAAAGCTGAATTATAGGTGTGATCTCTATGAAATTGATAGGCTAGGAACTCAAACTTTACCCAATTATCTTTTATTAAGTCCAGAAACCAAGCTAACATCAAGTGAAAGAACATAAATTAGACTTAATCCTTTAGCCTGCAACTTTGTCAGGTTTTTATGTATGTATGGGCAGGATTCTTTACAGTAAGTGTCTGTGACTTGTTGGCGAAAACTTTCAACAATAAAAAACAGCAACACAGTCCACTTGTTTTAAAATAATATATTCAGACAAGTCAAACGTATATACAAATGTTTGTTACACTGTTGGTTACCACAATTGTATCCAGAGCTTTAACTAATTGTCTCTTTTCACCAAAGTCCGCGCAGGTTGGTTCAGTAACATTAGAACACAATTGAGAAGACAAATTATTTCTTCTGTACTCTGTTATTACAATACAAACTGTGATAATTTCACTTCAGAAATTGCCACTATACACCCTTTATGGCTATACTCACAACCACTCAGTCTAGATCTATCTATCTAACTAACTATGCCTTCTCAAATTACATTTTGGATGCATATTAATAGCCTGACTGGGGCTTAGAATATTCTGCACACTAAGAGATATTATGATGCAATAATACTCAATTAAAACAACAATAAAAACGTAGAAGCTTCTAGTTACGCAATAATACAACAATCGCCAATTCACAACAACTGAACTAGATAACATATGATTTATACACAGTTACTTAAACAAACTTGCGATAAACTATCGCTTCTAAATATAACTAAACTTAACATTCGTGCTATACTTAAACAATCTAAATTACTAACTTGGAACAGTCGTACAGGGTTCAGATATGGAAAATAAACTGATACCAAGTAACAAAAAGTATATATTCTAAGTAATAGTCTTTTTTCACCACCAAAGCTACCAGTTTGCATTTACATATGTTGAAACCAAGCCTAAACCAAGTGACAAATGACAGAGATTAAAGAAAACTCTTTGTCATTAAAGCTAGATTGCAGGTTTAGATATGAAAACCATACTGAGGTAAAGTGGTGAAAAACATAATTTAGAAGTAGCCCTTTGCTACTGAAACTAGTCAATAAGTTCAGAGAAGAAAACTAAACTGAGACTTAGTGACAAAAGATAGAAATTAGAGGTAACCTAATGAAAGTGAGCCTTTACTGCCAAAGTTCCATGCAAGTCAATCAGAACACGAATATGTACAATGCATTGTAACCCTCTTCAATTAGCATGTGTATATTGGGTCTATGAACAAAATAGCTCATCCCTGTAAATTGCAATTCAATGAAGTAACAAAGAGGCTATGGTCGTCCCCATCGAAAAATAAGGGAGCTAATATCCTTCAGGGTTCACCTGACCCACCAGTGGAAAAGATCACTGTCTATTTTCACGTACAGTATGTTTAACTTTACAGAACTTTTTCCCACGTTAGTGACCCAGAACAATAATTAATTATGGCAAAAGGAACTTGCCACTTTCTTGACTAACATCATATGTTAAGCTACATATACCTGCACATATGAAAATTCTGAAATTTGTTTTGTTAAACATGGTGTTTGAGAATCCATGGTATACCTGCATACCATAACATTATGACGTTTATATTAGTGTGCATACATACCATAGGTCTTAGTGATCTTAACAAAAATACAATGTAAATATATGCTAGTAGAACTTAATAAATAACTATACATACATAAACAATTACCATTGTCATTTGGTCATGTTTATAAGACACATATAGAATAAACAATAACCTCATTTCTACCATACAGTACTGCACAATTCGACTCGGTCAATTCTAATTGTATTTATAAGATATTTTTCATTAAAGTTTTATACATATACATTGCCATTAAATATTTAATTTCATTAAGCATTAAGGTAATTAAATGTGGGTAGATGTGAACTGATTCTATAGTGAAGCCAAAATTTTTAGGGCAAAGTTTGGAGAGAGAGATACTATAATATGAAAACTAATTATTTCATTATTATGTTCCAAATGTGAAATGTTTACTAACACAAAATATCTTAGCAAATTCACAATTTTAAAATATAGTATTTTGTTGATAGCAAACATTTATTGCATACAAGTATAATTTATTGTGGTATGCAGTCATACTAGGTGTTTTCTACCCTCTTACTTTAATACATAATGTTTCCAAATATTCCATTTATTTGAGTATGTTTGCAGTTTCCACAGAACATGTTGGTCAAAAAATAAAGTCATTAAGTTCCTTTCATTCTAGCTACCTATTGTTCTGTATCATTCATATGAAATAACACCCTTTGTTTCCCGTGGGAAGGATAGCTGTAAGATTATGCATAGTATGTGAACATAGACAACAGTTTTTCCATTGATAGTCAGATGATATCTCGAATTATAACCTCCCCTATGTTTCGCTTGGAATGATCAGTCACGTGAGTTGTGCAAGCACCTTTAGGGAATATGATGTTACCAATTTACTATGTTACGTGATGTTTATCCACTCTAGAACAAGATTTTAACCAAGATAATTCGGATAGAGAGATCTGACACTCTACCCCCCTTCCAACCCCACATTCACCGTGAATATCTATATTTGACGCTAATTTATAAAAGTACTTAAGTACTCAAACAATGATCAGAACCTAAAATCGCTAAGCAGCATGATCAGTGATTGCGTAATGATTATTGTCTTTGCCTCTTAAATTTATAAAATTGTATATAAGATCGTTTCTTTGATCTGAAATTATTCATTGTATATAAACAATAGTGCAAACAAATCACCTATTCTAGTCTAGACTTTAAACTGTTTTCACGGATTCTTTAGAGTAAATAAAGTAGGAAACCAGATTGAAATCAGATACAGGATATAATTTACTGTAGATTAGCAGAGGTAGTGAATCTACAACTGCGTTCTCTCTGTGAAAAATACCCAGGTACCAACATATTTTTCAGGTAATGAAAAACAATTTTGCTAAAGTTTTAAATGCATGACACACATTTATTCCTCTCAGATCTGTAGTCTCTTTAAGTACTTGAATCATCAAAATTATAATAGTACATCTCGGCTTAAATAGCTCCATGATGCGAAATTGTTTGCGACATTAGTGGTCATATCATGCTATTGTTGTTATTGTTTCTAAATATTGACTTGAAGCAAATAAACAATGTGTGGAAATTTTTTAACACTAACCAGGAGAAAATGGAATTTGCAGTCTCTGCCAAGTAAATATTTTATTCAAAGAAAGAAGCACAAGTGTAAAACATCTTGAAAACAAATATCCCCTCCAACTTGGTGAGGCTGACACATTTAGAAAATGAGGGGCATCATTTACTTTGTGTGTGTGTGTGACAATTTCTGAACTACTTTAATTAGTCCTACAGCTACAAAAAGAAACCATAACAAATAAAAAATTTTTTTCGTCCACATTTTCTTTCATGAAGTTGATAGTTGATCAGAGGCTTTGTGCGAAAAAAAGATCACACGCAATTACAAATTTAATTGCTCAGATGAATTTAAAGGATGTAAGTGTTACTGCGCTGGTACTGGGAGAAGATTTTCAACAGCTTCAAACATCATCAGTAGAGGAGGAAATTGGACCATTTTTTTTTCATTGACCAGATAAACAAGAGACTGTAAATTCTCTAGAGTGGTAGAAAACCGACAAAAAGGAATTTCCGCGCCTTTTTTACATTGGGACTGACAGTCACCGCCAGGTATGCAGCTTTCACACCAGCATATGCAAAAATGACCATTTTCTTAAATTACAACTTAGGAATACTATCAGGACTAAATTTTAAGACACAAAAGTAAGACATGATCGAAGAGTCTTATTCCATGCAGAACGATAAAACTGAAACTGAAGAACTGGATGAAGTGATTGAAGAAATAGACATAGCAAAGAGGTTAGCGATGCATGTCCAGAGGACATTGATTAGATTATGAATAATAATAATAATAATAATAAAAACTCCAAACAGGTTTTATTTTCTGCGCTTTTATTTATTTGCATTGTTTTGCAACGTACAGTTACTTATTTTATTATTTTAGCACATACTTTGATTTACAGGCCTAATTTAAAGTATGGTTATTGATCGTGAATTATTTTTCTTCTTACATCAGTTTATCTTGTACTGTTTGTTTGTTTTTTGAATTTCGCGCAAATCTACACGAGGGCTATCTGCGCTAGTCGTCCCTAATTTAGCAGTGAACGACCAGAAGGAAGGCATCTAGTCACCACCACCCAACGCCAACTCTGGGGCTACTCTTTTACCAAGGAATAGTGGGATTGATCGTGAGATTATAACGCTCCCACATAACGGAGTAGATAGTTCCGTAAGTCTTTTTCTTAATAGTAATACAATTTTTTATAACTTTTCTTTCTTATTTTAGTAGAATAAAAATGTTTACAGTTTTAAGTATGATTTCTGGAGTACGCTGCTCGTATTACTCTATTTGTTTATTAATTTTTATATAAAGGCTACCTTTTTTGATAATAAGCTATGTCTGTGAAATAACTGTAGATAAACCATTCCGTCTTGGATTTGTTTGTGTGTTGAATTTCGTACACAGCTACTCGAAGTCTATCTACGTTAGCCGTCCCTAATTTGGAATTTATAGACTAAAGGGAAGGCAGCTAGTCAACGCCACCTACCGCCAAACTCTTAGATTACTCTTTACCAACGAATTATGGGATTAACTGTCATATTATAATGTACTTACGGTTGAAAGGGCGAGCATATTCAGTAACGGTATTCGAACCCATTAACTGTCGATTGTGAGTCTAGCGCCTTAGCAATCAAGCCTTTTAGTGTGAACTGGGCACCTTGTAATGCGGTTTTATGAAAACTAAACGATTATCTAATCCAAGACCATCTACAACAGAAAATAAAAGCCACAAAGGTATCTATTGGGTATAAACACTGAAAATTGCCTTCATTATTTGGCAGCTTAAACTTAAAGAATCGAATGAAGTCTCAGACGAGGTCTTAATTTGTCAAATTCTGTTGATACCCGATTGATTTAAAATCTGGCGAGTATCCGGGTTTCAGGGTACACATGCCGACCTCTTCAATTTATTCTAACAATTTTACAACTTTTACGAAAACATTTTTCTACAAGGCGCCGTTCAATCTGGAAATGCAAAATACTTTCAACCTATCAATTATTTGAGGTATTTGAGGTAAGTGTTCGTGTTTTAGAATTTTTCATTTTAGTTTTGATACCGAGTTTTTACATCAAAAAAGGATGTGGGGAGAGAAGAAATAAATAAATCGTTTTATATCTATTTCAGTTCAGTCCGAAAACAAGCATTTCTTAGTGTTGCCATATCTTTTCCGTTGACACTCCTACAGGGAGGTTGACCGGTCTGAACCAATCATGAACCAGTTTCAAGCGATCGCGAGTCATGTGCATTGAAAATTATCAACAGGAATTTTCCATGGATTAATCGTTATCTAGTATACCTTGTCATGTTTAACGAAAATAGTATCTGAAGATAAATATCGTTGTATAAGATCTATCGATTTCCATTATTTGAGTGAAAACTATTTAAATTATACGTAATACTAATAGTGGGGTTTCTCGGGGTAAGTGTTACTATTATATAAGATTAATTCATAATTTTTAAAAATATTGTTTAAAAGTATGAGATCAACATCATATGGTAATTTGATGAAAGTGAGTGATTTTTTTCAGACGGGTTACTGTGGGTAATTTTCCTTGGTAGTCAAGTAACGATAGAACTGTAGCATTTTTAAGATTAGGTAACGCTGAGTGGAGTATACTGTAAAACAAAGTATAATGCATCTCTAGAGAATCTTTCGATTTTGTGAAAATTAAGCTAAAGCTTAAAAGTTAAAAATAAATTATTGAGTGGGATTCTGACCGTACACTTTAGGATAGACTATCGACTCTGAATATAGCATAATACTTAAAAGCCACTAATCATATGTTAGTATTTTATTTTTTTGATTGGGGTAGTGTTAGAATCGAATCCAATCTCGCATACACCTACAGTACGTTTACACCAGTCATCTAAATAGATATTCGTGACCATATAGGTGCTCACTATAAATCAAATATTATTTTTGCACTGCTTATTTGAGCACTATGTAAAATGTAATAAAAGACATAAAAATAATGAAAGACCATTTGAATGGCCATTTCTTAAATTTACAGCTATATACTTGTAACCAGGGTATTAGCTCAGATTTGAAGATTGCTTATCCAAATTTATTAAAGGGGTGAAGTATGAAAAGTATGCTGCAGGTACAAACCTTCTGTTTCTAGGTTTAGATACATTCTGGTGCATTTCTTACAAGGTGAACCTGACTTCACTTATAAATCTTTATTAGTTTTTGCCATGTTTTTTTATGATTTATAGCTGGAAGCTGTGACTATTGTAATTGGCAAAATGAAGTATCAGAAAAAATATATAAATACTGACTGAACTGAACATATAAAATAGAAATTTATAAACAACATTAAAATAGATTTTAAGATTAAATGAAATTTTTTGATATATTTTGATACTAGTGTTTCACAACAGTATTTTGGAAATTTCACAACCTAAGAAATTATGAATATTGAATGAAGTTATACACACTTTTTAAGTCAAAACTATTTACTATTTATAAAGTTTTGAAATAGCTCTTTGTAACTTAAATATTGTATGTAATTATGTCTTATTGTTACTAGTGTTAGAGAAATAAATATATCTATTATCTCACTTATAACTGTTCCAGAACTTCATATTGTTGATAAGTTAAGTGGGTACTTTATAAAAAGCTTTTAGTTGCTATTTAGTAAGATTATCTGAAGATTCATGCAATTTGGTAAAGTGTTTCCTCTGTGAGAAGAAGAAAAACTGAGGAATATTGATACCCCTCCTATCCAGAGAGGGTTAAAGTTCTCATTCAAAAATCATCGTTGGTAGTATATCTGGAAATTAAGTCTGATTTCAATTCAACTTTGAAATTACTATTTAACTCGGGTATGATTGTTATATCATTTGATGCCATGAATGCTGAAGCACCTACAGTCGAAGTACTGATTGACAATGGTGCTTGTAAACAGTACTTGAAGGAACAACAGAAGGAATAGAAAATTTATTAAATGGTAAAAAAACAGGTGGATGAGTTGCTGGCTAAAAGCATAGTTAAAACTTTTTGAGGTAGAACTACCAAACTTAAAAGAACTGGAACCTTATATTATTTTAGTAGTCTGTTCTCTTTATGACATTGTGCTATTTTTAAGATAATATAAATGGTTTTTGAAATTCTAAATACATTCAGAAACTAAGAAAATCACATAAGTGGAAGGTGGATTGTAGGATGATTGGATGAAAGAAAACAAACTGGACTCTTTTTACTAGTTAAGTATGTCAACTTCAAGTGTCAGTGATTAGGTCTGTTTTTTCCTATTTACATTAATATTTTTATTGGAAGATAATTAGCAAAGTTTGCTGATGTAATTAAACTCTTGGCATTTCTGGATGTACTGAGGATGTTGAGGCACTACAGGATGACTTGGATCAATTATTTGGACAGATATTTTGACATATGACCTTTAATTATAGTAAGTACGAAGTAGTGCATATGGGTTATCCTAATTTGGATAACATTTTTAATACAGATTGCAACCAATTCAATAGCATGACTTAAGACAAGTATCTTGACATATTGGTGGATAAGTCATTCAAACCATCAGAAAAGTGCTCTATTGCTATTGATAAAGCTGATAGAATTTTAGAATGATAGGTGTGTTTGTCGAAATATTGATTACAAGTCAAAAAAGTTAATTATCTTTCTATACAAATGACTAGTTAGGACTCATTTTGAAAATTGTGGACAGTTTTGATCATCATATCTAAGAAGGGATATTGATTTGTGGAAGGAATTCAGAGGAGGGCTCTGGAGATAGGTTAAGATTTCTTAACTTATTTTCTCTTGAGGAAAGAAAAAAGGTAATAGGTGAATTTATTGATGTTTACAAGATTGTCATGGGTATTGATAGGATAAATTTTTCCAGTTTCTTTGTGCTATATTATGAAGACAACAGGATGAGAGAGTACAAGGTTGTTAAGATTTAGATAACACAGGCAGGCTAGGCTCAAATTAATTTATCTGTCTAACATGGCTAATGGAATGAGTTGCTTTTGGCAGAAGTGAAGGCTCTAAAATATAAAATACAAATGCCGTGGGTGAGTAAATGCAATTCCAAAGAAATCTGTGGGGAAATTTTAACTTGTCAGTCATTAATCATAATCTTAAAAGATGTAAAACATCTAGCTCATAGCTGATAATACATCTTGCCGAGTCTAGCCTGCTCTTTCCATATAGTATATTGCATCAAGTATTAGCATTCTAGCAGTAGTTTCTGCACTAGACCTAAAATTTAAGTTAAAAGGGAAAGGTTTTACTTATTCTTAACTTCTCACAGTGAAGTGTTCTTGGTAATTAATTAAACTTAAGATTAGGTTTAAAACAGCAGTTCACTTCCTGTACTTTAAAATTGTTTACTTTGCAGTCAATTATTAGTGATGTTTAAAGCATTTTTCTTGTACATTTCGGTGTTGAAAAAAAGTTCCATTATTTAATCCATGCCATGAGGATTGGCATATATTGGGGCTGGTTTAGAGCAAAAGCTTAAAATATCATGAAAAACTTGAAAATTTGGGACCATTTAGACATTTATCATTTCATCAGGTCATATGTAGAAGATTTTTTTTTTTTTCAAATTTGGTTAAACTTAGATAGATGTTTACACAAATAATGTTGTGAAACTGAAGGTTTATATATCCCTTCAACTTTAACCAAAAGAATGGTTAATGAAAGTCTTATGTTAAATGAAAAGAAAGAACAAAAGCTTCATAGTTATTTCTTAAGTGTTTATACAGAGAAAAAATGCTTGTAATGTAAAAATGAGTGGTGAAAATGCATATATATTTTGTGACATGAAGTTTTACTTTATTCACCAATGAAGCTTACTGAATTACTATTAAATTACGCTGTATGAAGACTATCAAGCTGAGCATCTTTATGTTAGGCTTAGTATGTGAAACTGCTGAAAAAGTATGTTCTTTTACAATTACTTAAAAGACATTTTTATAATCATGCCTCTACTGATACTGATTTATTTCCCAGAAGGCTTTAGGTAGGAAATGGCTGACTAATACACATGCTCACAAAATCAATTCCTGTTACTCCTCTGAGAACTTTTGGCATGAAAACACTTGCCCTGTATTGTTAAAAGCTATGTCATCAGTAAAGTTTCTTTACAAGAGTTGTATACTGGTGGAATCAAATCTAGAATAATTTGAAACTTTTAAGTGATCTTTTCATGAAACATCATTTAAGAAATGTATTGTGCATCATGTAATTTTTTAAATTTATTAATTAACTAAAAATAGTGGACATACTTAAAAAACAAGAATGAAAGAATTTTCTACAATCATTACTCAGTCAATATGGCTAATTAAATTTTTTATGCACAATTTTACATATCGTAATTGCTTTAAATTGTGATTGGTATCCTTACTAATAAAGCAATAATTGAGAAACTTTTTGGAGAATAATTGGTTGTATTAAAAAATGTTCATAAGAGTTTCTTGTCCTGTGTTATTCATTGAGATAAAGTTTTGGCCATAACAGCTCAATATGGCTTTAGTAATCTCCAGAACATACAACTTGTAGTGTCAGTATGTGTGAGTGTGCTCTTAAGATGTGTTGTTTAAGTTTGTATTTCAGCTTTAACAACTAATTATTTTACAAATGAATAGCGTAATTTCCATTCTAGCTTTTACTGCTAGTATTTGTATTTTGTTTATTAGTTTGACTTTTATAGGCATATCAAACCTATCCATATAGCTATTTTGAATATTCTGTAAAAGTAAAATAAAATTATAGATGTCTTCTTTCTTATTCAAGAAAGCTACCATAAGGTAATTAGAATAGTTCAGAGTGTATTCTATACAAAAAGCATGAACTTGGGTTGCCAATGTTTTTACAATACATCAAGTATAAAGCTGAAAATTGTTTAACTTTGCTGTATCAAAGGATCCAATTTAAATATTTCATTTAACAGAGTGAAACTGACAGTATTTCTAAGAAAATGTATTTGAAGATATTGTTGATATATCTTAATCCTTTCACTGTGGCCGAGACATATTTCCCAGTGCTCCCACCCCCTCATGCTGCGACTGGGACAAATTTTTCCTATTGTCAATCAAAATTGCTGCGAGTGGCATATGGGAGTAAAATGAGTTGGAAAGTATTTATTGGCATCCCACACAATGTTGATGTATGGTTTCCCTCAATGTTTTCCACTCAGCCCTCCAGTAACAAACAAGATGCCTTAGTAGAATGTACAACAACTTCTAAAATGGTGAGTAGTAACCCTACTTACTGTGTGAACATACTTGATGTGCTTAACTCAGATAGCTTAGAAGGTAGTGAAAGTGAGTCAAATGGTGTTCAAATGCACGATGATGAAGAGGCAATGAGACATGAGTACGCCAGCTCTCCATCTAGTGAAAATTGTCAAGATGATGAACCTGGAACCAGCAGATAGACAAAAGGTGTAAACAGCATTGACAGTGGGAAACATTTGTCCCAGTTGCAGTATGAGGGGTGGAAGCACTGGGAAATATATGTCCCAGCCACAGTTAATGAGTAAATAGAACATTTTGTTAGGTAGAGATGTTGCATTTTCAACCAGTGTTATCTTTTTTTTTTTTTATTGTATATGCCATTTTAGTTCATTATATAGCCTAACACTTGTTTCCAATGGTATGTATTATGAGCAGTATTAAGACAATTTTTTTTGCAAGATGATAGGTTTTGATTTCTGTTTTGTATTTAAGTTATCAAAAATGGTAGTTCTGTGAGAAAAAAATGGAAAATATAATGAACTGAAGACACTTAACATACAAGAAAATGCTGGAATATTAATCTTCTGTTTTTCCTGTCCTATATTAATTTCTTCAACCAATTTCATGACTTCAGGATATAATTTTACTGAGAATCTTTAACAAAAACATACAAATCCCATTTTACAACTATACATAAATAATCTAAATTAAATACATATATTTTCTAAATGTACGAACATATAATGCACTCCATGTATAAATTAAGTACATTAAAAATGCTCAAAAATAAATAAAACTAGTTAACATACTTTCCTTTTTAAATTAAAATTTTACACTAATTATAATTTCATACTCTTACTTACTTGATTTTTTCTTTTCTGTTAAGTCTATGTTTTTGAAATTCCACACCCAGTTATTTCTTCCCTCTTGCTTCTGTCTATTTAAAGTGGTGCTCAAAAATTTATCAAATATTTTTCGAATAATAATCTTTTATGTTTTACATTAAATGCCCAAGAAGGGAGAACATGAAAATATGGTTCTTTTAGAATTTTAAGTTTTCTCAAAATACATTCATTGAAATGTTTGCTGGCATATAGTGGGCTTTTTTTGGGACACCTAACATGGAATTTATGTAAATTTATCCATAATCTTAAATTATCTGTTTCACCAATATAGAATTCACCACACTTTACACATTTTAAAAGATATATTGCTTTCTTATAATTGCAATTTACTATGTTATTAATGAAAAACCTCATTATTGTTCTTCATTGTTTTGGTAGTTTTCGTGTAACCTAAATTACATAAAGCATAGTTTTTTCTTTCACAACTGAGAATACCTTCTTTAGATAAATCCCTTTCTTTAGGTTTATTCAATAACCTATACAAATTATTAGGTTGTCTTCTTGATAAAATAATTTCCTTATCTTTGAATACATTTTTTTTTAAGTTTTTAATCTACTATTTGTTTCAATTGTGTATTAGCAAATGAAATATCAATATGTTTATTTATACAATAAATCATAAAAGATATAATGTTCTCTTTAGGTTCACTCATCTTTCTGTTTTTTATTAAAAAAGATATTCTTAGCAATTTCAAAACCTCTTAATATAATGTATTCAGGATAGTGACACTGAACTAAGAATATTTTTCCACTTACTTCCCCCTTTTTTTGAAAGGTTAGACATTGACACTGTAAATATATTTGATGAAAAAATGTTACTTGTTCCAATTGAAGTTAGAAACAAAGATGAAAAAATGAAACACCAGATTCAATCTTTTAAACTGTGACTTTGTAAGTAGTATGGCAATTATTAACTGTATAAAAGCACATTCATAATGGAGTTTTTGTGAGATTAATTTTATTTTAGTATTACTTTAATATTTTTCTTGCACATAATATGTTCTTTCTTTTTCTAGGAGTAAAAAATTGTAGTGTATCATGGCTTTGAGAACTTTACAGGCGTTCTTCAGAATAGCTGCAGTAAGCTTAAAGCAGCCTGTAAAAAGGCCTCAACAATCAAATTATGTTTTACTTGCTCGGCACTTTCACAAGAGAGGCAAGTGTATACTTACCTTTTTTTTGTTGCTTTTTTACAATGCTCATTTTTGACTGAATAACATTTACAGGTATGGGAAAATCTGATTTGTAAATGATTTAAATAAAATTGACAATAATTACAGTTCCTTGATTAATCTTGTTCACGCCATAATGGCTATTCATGAAAATTGATGATACATATAGCAGGTAGACCACTATTATGTTTGTTGTATCCCAGTCAGCCTGATTAGCCCTGGTATTGGGCAGAAAGTTTTGTTAGCACGTAATATAGCTGATTTAATGTAGTTGATACATTATTGTTTGTTTTTTTTTTTTAAATTAATCATGTTTACACAGTTGTCAAATTCATGAAAATTGTCATAATTATTTAATGGGTTTTTTATATTTTTTAATTGTCTGGAGTATTTTTTAGGGGTTTTGTAATTTCAAGAAAGAGTAGATTTAAATTTTATGAAAAGTTATGCATCTGTTTAAAAATATTGGTCTAAAATGTTTGGGTTTTAAAAAATAAGCTGGTTCATCATTATTTTCTCAGAAAAACATGATAGTTTTATTTTTGTGTACTGTGTATGCATAATAAAATATAAAAATTTGAAAGACAGTTTGACACTGAAGTTAGTTTCACAATATAACATTTCCAAGAAAAAATGCTGGTACACATTTAGGGAATTTTTCAATTTATTTAATAAGTATCTTACATTCTAAAACCTTGTGTTTACTTCTTTTGAAACCTTGTGAAATGTCACACTAACCTTTCAGGAACCAGTACTGTTGTCGACACAGCAACAACACCTCGTTTCAATGCGACCATTCAGGAAACTATGCCAATGAGCAGTCATTCACTGAAAGTTATCTTCAGTAATCATGAAGCTGCTGAGTTCAAATATATATGGGTAAGTTAATCCTTTATTTTGTTCAAGCTTGTAAACATTTTACCATAAGTAATGTTTAAGCAAGTATATGTGATCTTGATGTCTGTTCATTGATGATAGGTGACTTGTTTTTCTGTATGCATTATAATTTCTGACTAATTATAGTATTGGTCTTATTTTTGAATTGTACTTGTTTAGTGCAACTATTCTGTTTGAGATTTTTTTCATTGTATATTTTCTGTAAGTAAGAGAAAGTAAGGAAAATTAAATTGAAAAATAAACTTTCTAGTGAAGAATAATGGTAAAAACAGTAACGACAACAAACATTTGGCATGTATGTGATGGTAACAAACATTTAGTTCTTAAGCATTTCAGAATATTCACGTTCTATCTTCAGCAAGCTATATTAAACAAGGTTAAATATTAGGTACAAAAATTTCTAAAGTTCCAACATTTTATAAAGAGGATTTAAAATAGTGAGTAAAAGGATGAAATTAATTTATAAAGAGAGCGTAGGACAGTTTGAAAAGTTGTAACAATACTACTATTTTTTTGTCGAGTTATGCAAGTTATTGAAAACAGACTTACTATAGTGAAGTTGTGTTATTATTTAAAGTTGGGAGTTCATTTATAATAGATACTTTCTTTAATTAAAAGTTCAAGTTTGAGATTATTTTGAAATGTTTAATCAAGATGGAGTGGTTGCTATTTTTACTATGTATGTGAATTGCTGAGCTTGGAGGATTTGACAGTTGTTTTCTAGTTCTGTTTGATACTCCCATATGTTTGCATAATTTTGAAAATTTGTGAAGCACGTTTTTTTTATAGGACAGTTATTTCTTCCTATTTGGTTGCTTGTTGTTCCAACTTCTGTATAGCCTAGAAATATCAAAGCATGCATGTAAATGATAAAATGCATAATTGAAGTAAGAATCATTACATTTTGTGTAATTTTGGGCTTCAGTTGTGCATGGGCAACATTGTTGTGTTCAAGTAATTATGTAAGGAATATTCATATTATTACAAACATTGATTAATATAATTGAATAAATTGTCTTGAACAATGTTTGGTTCTTACAAATCTCTGTTACGTTTGATTTAAAGATAAGAAGAGGAGGAAAATAATCTGTTATCATAGTTTGTGCTGTGCTTTAACATGTAAAGAACAAATCAGTTTTTGTTTTGTTTTTCTTCAACGTTCTACTTCCCATGTCTGTACTTTATTCTAGTGTTTTTCATTATGGTGTGCATTGTTAGCAAGCGTGAGTTGTGTGTTTTTTCATGATTGTAGTGGAAATTGTGTAATCATAAAGGTGTACACTTACATAACTCCTGTTTTTAGTAGCACATGTATTTCTTAACTAGTAAGTCATAATGTTTGTCTGTTAATTAGAACTTATACAAACTAAACTGGATATATAACAAAGTTTCAGAAATTAAAAGTATTGCCAATAATATCCTTAGAAGCTTTGGTTTTAAGTTATTAGATTTCAAAGTTGTAAATTTATATGTATATGTGTTTTATAGTTATTTATGTATGTGAATATGCCTACAGTACTAGCTTGTAACACTACCATGTTGACTTTTCATTCTGAAATATCGGCAAAATATCCTTACATTAATTAGAGAACTAAAGATAACTGTGTAAATCAGTACTTGGAAAATCACACAGTTTTGTTATTTGTTACATACATTTCATATATCTATGTTTTTATAATGTGTCTGGGGTTAGAAAGTGCATCAGGAGTTTTTTTTTGGAAAATATTGTTAAAGTACAGTTGACGTGAGGATGAGGATTCTTTTTATTTGTGGAATAAAATGTATATTAGCTTTTGAAAGCCCGAGAAATTGTTAAATGAAGTAAACTAAAATTGTTATTAAGACTATTGAAACAGGTGTCAAAGTGCAAGTTTGAAATATTACAAATAGTTGGTCTCTTAAATACTAATATTCATTAATACTCTTTTTTTTGTGTGTTGGTAAGATGTTTTACTGATGGTAGTATGTTGTATAGATTCAGGTCTCTTGCTGTTCAGTTGTCCAAATCATCTTTTTAATTATCCTCTATGTGGTTTAAGCTTGTAAATTTTGAGATTTCAGGAGTAAACACTTGTGCACCACTAATGTTTAGATCAGTTTGTTAATGTAGAATAGTCTATGTAGATAAAACTAACACAACTTTTAGTATTCTCAAGCCTGAGCTGTAAGTACTTAATTTGTGTAAATATGAACAGATAAAGTTGTTCCTAGTATGTGTGTGTGTGCAACTGTATATATATATATATATATAAAAGCACATGACTTTTATCTGTTAACTCTTTGGCTCTTATCATTATGTAAACATGTGATCCATTGCTCCTCAAGAAGTAGGTCATACAGCTTTCTTATAAACAACTTAAATATACATCTCACGTGTCAGTAGATTCTACACAGTCTGCTAGTCTGTGACTACAGTTTTGCAATGTACTTTCCACAAAAAAAAACATAGTAAAGCCATTAATTTGATTTTGTTGTAACTAACTTTGTTTTCTTTTAAATGACTAGTTCTTTGAGACAAATTCTCCAAAAATTGCAAGTTTTAAATTAAATTTTTTTCTGAAGTTTGAACTTGGCTGTAACAAAAGCTTAAACACAACTCTGTCTAAATTGAAGTTTACTAACATTTCTGTACACCAGCAGCATGTTATATTTATTGGAGAACAGTGTTAGGTCATTTGAATTGTTGAAGCTATTATTTATATTTTTAACAAATTTATTTTACACTGAACAAGAAAAAAACATTAACAATTTTTAAAAAAGGGTTTTAATATTTAATTTGTTAGTTTAAATCTAGTATCTAAAATAGGTATTTTGAACAAATAATTTATAACAATCTTTGGCATCCACATATCTTCTGTATGGAATTTACAGTATTTGATTACTGATATACTTTGTTAAAAAGGTAAAATCTCAGATGTTTCTTATAGTTGTAGAGAATCAGGTAGGCAAGGTCATTGCAACCTCAAATACTAAATAGTGGCTTGTGGTAATGACAGTTAACTTACAAGCAGAATATAAATTGACATCCTTGTATGTTTCTGTTTTTTTAGTTTTAAAACATTCTGTTGCCTCTTAAACTACAACATATTGTGAACTGAAGATTTATAATAGGGAACTAAATCAAGCACTGTTATATACATGCAATAGACTTTTACAATTAAATAATATTTTATTACAAGTACAGCTTTTATAGTAAGGAAGAAATTTTTTAAAACAGGTAGGATGATTCGATCACTGATGCAATAATTCTCAAGTGCACAAGTTTAAATGGTAAAGAAGGTTTTAGTATCTAAATCAACATTCAAGATTCTAACAGTGTATTTAAATTTAAGAATTGATAGTGGTTACTTATGTATGCACGTATCAATCCACATGAATTGAGAGATTATTTATTTATGGCTAAACAGTGAATAAATGGGGAAATGTTATGCAAAATATTTGCATAATATTAGGAATATTTTGGGAAATAATGATCAAAGACATACACAGGCACATCTCTGTATTTATTAATTGTAGGAGTATTTGATTTTATTAATGAAGTTTCTGATTTTTCTTCTGCTCATGCCAGGTTCTTGTTTTAGTTAAAAAAAACTGTGGTTATTTTTGTTCATATGTTCATGGACTTTGTGATTTTGGGTTTTCTTTTAACCTGATGCTCAAGTTACATTCTGCTTCACCTGTGTAAAATACTGGGCAGTTGTTACACTCTATTTTGTAAACGTTTCCTGTTGAGGTGGGTTTATTATATAATTTTCTTAGTATGTGTTTAATTTTCATTCCAGGGATGAAAATGAAGCTAGTCATTATATTTAGGTTATATTTACTTGCTAGTCTTTTCCAAATTTCTGATAGTGGTATGTTAATATTTTCTATGTATAAGATAGTGCCAGTAATTAGGTTTCTTTTGCTTTATGAGTTTGTTTGTTTATTAAATGTGTCTTGCCTGTGTTTTTAAATTTGTTAATAGTTTGTGTAACTATTGTTGTAGGGAATTGGTTTATGTTAGTAAATTATTGAGTTAAGTGTGCAACTTATTCATCAATGTTTTCTGTGATGTACACAGCGTAGTCACAAGTAAATAGACACCACCTTTTCAGAAAAAATGAAAATTTTCAGTCATATTCACATGAATTGATATATTTATAATCTAATTAATATCTAGTAGATCTTCCTTTTGCTTTG